CCGCACCATCACACTGACTCAGTCACACATGGTGCAGTAGGTCCTTCAGCGCTTCGGCTTCACCTGGTCCTCAGCACAGGCCACTCCTTTGGCTATAGATCACTCGCTCTCAGCTCTGCCTTCGGATGAGTCCGTAGAGCCGAGTGGTCCTTACCCAGAGCTAGTGGGCTGCCTCATGTACCTGATGACTTGCACTCGTCCTGACCTTGCGTACCCTCTTGGCCTTCTGGCTCGCTACGTGGCTCCTGGTCGGCACCAAAAGGTGCACTGGGATGCTGCGAAGAGGGTACTGCGCTACTTGTGCAGTACATCGGGCATGGGGCTCGTGCTTGGAGGACGGCGAGAGGTGGTCCTCACTGGGCACTCAGACGCTTCTTGGGTTGACGACCAGGCTACGCAGCGGTCGTCACAGGGTTACACTTTCAGCCTTGGCTCTGGTTCTGTTTCTTGGCGTTCTACTTGCTCGTCTTCTGTTCTCAGTTCCAGTTGTGAGGCTGAGATCTACGCCACCGCCATGGCTGCTCAGGAGTTACGCTGGCTCACCTACCTGCTGACCGACCTGGGAGAGCGGCCTCGTTCTCCTCCAGTGCTGTACGTCGACAACAAGGCTGCCATTGCCTTGTGTGAGGAGCACAGACTGGAGCACAGAACGAAGCACATCGCTCTGCGGTACTTTCTGGCTCGAGAGTTGCAGCAGCGTGGTCAGCTTCGACTTGCACACGTGGCCACTCGGGCCAACACTGCTGATATATTCACCAAGGCACTTTTGTCTAGTGATCATCAGCGCTTTTGTACTTTGTTAGGTCTTGTGCCTACGTTTCCACACTTGCTGTAGTCTTTTGTGTGTACTGTACTCAATATTTATACCTGCATGCTTGCTCTTGCTAGGTATTGATCACTGTACTGCTCTTGTTGCTTATATATATCTCTGCATGTGGACTGGCCTTGTGGCCCTTTGCTTGTGCTCAGAATGTGTGGTGACGTTGAGATCCACCCTGAGCTTGCTTTGCGTCTCTTGACTGGTCGTGTGACCCCTTGTTCTCCCCCAGTTTGCCTATGGGGGTGTGTCAAACATATATGCTGCATATTGTCTAGGCTGTAGTGGGGTAGCCCATATGGGGTACAACCCAATTAGGGTTTACTACTTGTACTCCTGCATGCTGTTAGTTCATCATTCCTGCTGCTAGATTCTAACAGAAAACACATTACTCAGTAACAAAACGAAGGAGAAAGGTATGAATAATACAACTGGAAAAAACGTAGAAAGAAAACCGCAACTACTAGTTATGATCGTAGACAGCTCGTTCTGCGCGAAGCGTGACCACCATTAGCATCGTAGCAGCGCTAATCGCGAGACACTAATTCTGATACAAGTACGCTGGCTCTCGTACTAGCTGTTCTAAGTGTGTATCATGAGCTGAAATCGAAGTTAAAAATGACGGGTTGCGTAAGAAGCAGGGTGGATAAGTAGTGGGAAGGTGCTGGGAGAGGAGAGGAAGAAGAAGGTGCTGTCGAAGAGCTTTGATTGGTTCGTGAACTAGAGTGTGCCACGTAACCCAACCCATCACTGTATTCCAACGTATTGAGCGATGCGATAAAGTGGAGAGAATCAGATGTAAGAAAACTGTAACATGTCATAACAACAGGTTGAGAGAAGAAGTGTATAGGGTGTACATACCTTACCAAGCTGTTTTGGAATCCTGTACACAAGATGCCCAACCCCTGCACGCGAATTTGCCCTGCCCGCGATGGAAACTCTGCACCCGTGTATTAGGGTACCAGCCAGTTGCACCCCATTTACAAGCACCTCGAGCAATACGAACCACAAAAACCGAAGTTTGACAGAAGAGACCCATGTCAAACGGTCAACAGCGAGTTACAAAATCTTTTAAAAGCCCTTTTTGCTAAGTGCGAATTGACGAAAGCTTAGCGAAATACAAGAAACACTTAAGAGCCCCCTTCACAAGGCAACCTTGGGTTAGTCAAACGGGCATCGTGCGTACGTCGCAACCACGGCAGAAGCAGATTGGCGAAGAAGTTCCACGCCATCGATTTTCCCGCCAAAGCTGGGGTAACCTCGGGGTACCCTCCCGAACAATAAATCTTTCCGATTGGTCGAAATTATGTTACCACGTTGGGCGCTAAGGTTGGCGGTCGTCGCTGACGTCGAGAGTGTATTAAGGTGAGCTGTAGGTAACACAGAGGGAGCTTGTGGGTCACCCCGTGATGGTGACCCTGGGGTCTCCGGCGTTTTCAAAGTGATTTTTGCGTGTGGAATTTTGGGATGAGGCAATGGAATGAATTGGGGGACCAGAGGCTATCAATGTAGGACTCGCATGGTGCTGGTTGCTCCAAAGAGCACCTAAGGATCTTAAAGCCCGTGTCCCAAATTGCGGACCGCGAGAGTCAAGTTTTTAAAACTTGACGAAGTTGAGTGTCCAAGCTTTTGAAAGTCACGCACCTGCAATTTGGGACTTTCGAAGACAGATTCACTCACCAGGGGGAAAAACGAGGGTTGGCTGGGTCTTGCGAAAAAAACGAACCTAGACGAAATCGGAAACTCTCGCCAAAGCCCACACCATAAAAACTCCATCTGGTCAACTTTTAAAAGCATGAACAATTTGGGCTGCCGGCTTTAAAGAGAAGGTCGTATGAAATACTACTGATGTGCGTGAGTGGCTCCATTATGGTGATTTCAGATATGGACTCGATACCAGCAGATGCGCTAACGAACGGCAAGCAGTTACTTATCTGAACAAAACAACGGGAAACGGCGAGGATGCTGGTTACTAGCGGAATGGATGAAGTGTAGTCATGGCTCTGAGGTAAGCGGGTAGGGTATTCCTTGTATTGGGTGGAGAAAAGGGTACGAATGCGAGGAAAGCTACAAGGGTAATTACCTCCTGGGTAACCAACATCGAGTCCCTTGACGTCCGCAGTACGCCACGTGGCTCGATGGTACCCATCAGATCATCCAATCCCCTTCGTGGTACCCATTATGCCTGCGTGGTACCTTTTGTCCCTACGTGGTCACAGTCAACACTCATCGAATTCCCTGACGGTTTACAAAGGTTTTTTAATATATTATTGTGAACATTTTTTTTAAACTTTTTCGATGTTCCTAAGATTCGGAAAGATATTTCCTATGGATACAATTTTCTGAATTTGAAGATATAGTGAGTATAAAAAAAACAATACTTGTTTATTATCATACATGTGTAATGCTGGCTTACTATTACCTATATAGTCTCAACGCGATGTGTGTTCTCTATTCTTTAAAATAGAGCTAAAAATAACATGCGTAAGAGCCAACATATATTTTATTATATTATCGCACTACTGGAAAAAAATATTGCAATTTCTAGGAATTTGCACCTTGATTTCTCTGCACGCTAATATATTTTTTTTGTACGTTTTCTTGACACATATTGCGTTTGGCATATTTACCCGATTGGGTACCAATTCGGGTTCTGCCCCTTTAGAGCTTGTAAACGCTAGTACAATATACTGAAAATCGCATTATGGCTGAGTCAAACCTTGTTGTACTGTGTACAGTTCGGTTGAAATGTCGTGGTACCAGTCAGGGAATTCGATGAGTGTTGACTGTGACCACGTAGGGACAAAAGGTACCACGCAGGGATAATGGGTACCACGAATCGGATGATCTGATGGGTACCATCGAGCCACGTGGCGTACTGCGGACGTCAGCGGGCTCGATGTTGGTTACCCAAGAGGTAATTACCCAAGCTACAAAGGGTGGTAGGGATGATGGATGGAAGGAAATTGAAGACGAAGGGCGTGTTTGATGTTGAGCGAGAACGACACTGGAAACGACAAAAGATGCAGCAGAAAATCCGACATGCCACAGTTGCTGCGTTGGGGTTCGTACCAACGCAGAGCATCGATCGCACCATCTCTTTCTTTCTGGAGAATTTCGGGGGCTGTAGGAAGTTCGGAACGGTAACCAAACATTCGGTCGGAAGTGTGAATGGCAACGCTGCTAAAGTAGCAAGCTGAATTTTCTCGTCATTCGTTCCAGCCCAGTACGTCCCCCCCATGAGAATTGACGGTGAATTCTTGCCAGATTTTACGAGTATGTTTTAAGGGCCGTCCCGTCCCTCGATCCTCCCCGCACTAAAATCCCGCGTTTTGCATATATACTGTTTTAACCTTTTTGAACGATACTGCGCAGGTTCGATCGAGGGTGGGGAACACGCCCTTGGCAATAGCCCTGTGTCTCCCTCACCCTCCCGAATATCAGTTGAAGGCAGCGTGGCGCTGAACGAATTTCTGCGATTATAACCTCCTAGAGGGGGCATCGCGTTACCGACGAGCCGCATTCCCCCCAATCTTACCTGCTCGCACGCCTCTGCCATCCCTTGAATCGCCAGATCCCCTAATAGACCTGCTCTCACTCAATTTTCCCCTCCAACACAGCAGGACAGCACTTTAGGGTTATTAGCTAATTCCACGAGAGAACCTAGTTACGCCGCGTGGTGCATCATGATTCGTGCCATCATGGTCTGTGGTCCTTCCGTCAGAGGCTTTGATGCTCGTTTTGTTGGCTGTACGGGGGGCGGACCAATTGAAGCGCAATCCAGCGAGCTTGAATAAGTGAATTCAAAACCTGGGTTCAGCTTTAGATGCGCTAGTGGAAAGGCAGAATTGCGGATTTAGGAGGCTGATCGTGCGAGTGAAGTCGGAGGCACAAGAGGAGAAGGATAGGGATGAATGAATATATGAATAGGCATACGAGAAGGAGAGGGAGAAGAACGGCGGAAACCGCGTGTGCTGTGGCAAGCGGCGAAACGAGGCGGGGACACCGCGAAGCAGCGCAATCGACGTTGGCAGTGGCAGTGATGCTGGGGCTGGTGGGCCATCGACAAGCCCGAACTCGTCGACGCTCTGAGGATTGGAGACGCATGTGTGACGGAAGGGGAGTGACTGGTGAAGGGGAGTTGAATGGGCGGTGAAAGAAAGGGGAGTAATGACAAGGGGAGTTACGGAAGGGGGAGTGACGGAAGGGGGGTGACGGAAGGGGGAGTGACGGAAGGGGGAGTGACGGAAGGGGGAGTGACGGAAGGGGGAGTGACGGAAGGGGGAGTGACGGAAGGGGGAGTGACGGAAGGGGGAGTGACGGAAGGGGGAGTGACGGAAGGGGGAGTGACGGAAGGGGGAGTGACGGAAGGGGGAGTGACGGAAGGGGGAGTGACGGAAGGGGGAGTGACGGAAGGGGGAGTGACGGAAGGGGGAGTGACGGAAGGGGGAGTGACGGAAGGGGGAGTGACGGAAGGGGGAGTGACGGAAGGGGGAGTGACGGAAGGGGGAGTGACGGAAGGGGGAGTGACGGAAGGGGGAGTGACGGAAGGGGGAGTGACGGAAGGGGGAGTGACGGAAGGGGGAGTGACGGAAGGGGGAGTGACGGAAGGGGGAGTGACGGAAGGGGGAGTGACGGAAGGGGGAGTGACGGAAGGGGGAGTGACGGAAGGGGGAGTGACGGAAGGGGGAGTGACGGAAGGGGGAGTGACGGAAGGGGGAGTGACGGAAGGGGGAGTGACGGAAGGGGGAGTGACGGAAGGGGGAGTGACGGAAGGGGGAGTGACGGAAGGGGGAGTGACGGAAGGGGGAGTGACGGAAGGGGGAGTGACGGAAGGGGGAGTGACGGAAGGGGGAGTGACGGAAGGGGGAGTGACGGAAGGGGGAGTGACGGAAGGGGGAGTGACGGAAGGGGGAGTGACGGAAGGGGGAGTGACGGAAGGGGGAGTGACGGAAGGGGGAGTGACGGAAGGGGGAGTGACGGAAGGGGGAGTGACGGAAGGGGGAGTGACGGAAGGGGGAGTGACGGAAGGGGGAGTGACGGAAGGGGGGTGACGGAAGGGGGGTGACGGAAGGGGGGTGACGGAAGGGGGGTGACGGAAGGGGGGTGACGGAAGGGGGAGTGACGGAAGGGGGAGTGACGGAAGGGGGAGTGACGGAAGGGGGAGTGACGGAAGGGGGAGTGACGGAAGGGGGAGTGACGGAAGGGGGAGTGACGGAAGGGGGGGTGACGGAAGGGGGGTGACGGAAGGGGGGTGACGGAAGGGGGAGTGACGGAAGGGGGGTGACGGAAGGGGGGGTGACGGAAGGGGGGTGACGGAAGGGGGAGTGACGGAAGGGGGAGTGACGGAAGGGGGAGTGACGGAAGGGGGAGTGACGGAAGGGGGAGTGACGGAAGGGGGAGTGACGGAAGGGGGAGTGACGGAAGGGGGAGTGACGGAAGGGGGAGTGACGGAAGGGGGAGTGACGGAAGGGGGAGTGACGGAAGGGGGAGTGACGGAAGGGGGAGTGACGGAAGGGGGAGTGACGGAAGGGGGAGTGACGGAAGGGGGAGTGACGGAAGGGGGAGTGACGGAAGGGGGAGTGACGGAAGGGGGAGTGACGGAAGGGGGAGTGACGGAAGGGGGAGTGACGGAAGGGGGAGTGACGGAAGGGGGAGTGACGGAAGGGGGAGTGACGGAAGGGGGAGTGACGGAAGGGGGAGTGACGGAAGGGGGAGTGACGGAAGGGGGAGTGACGGAAGGGGGAGTGACGGAAGGGGGAGTGACGGAAGGGGGAGTGACGGAAGGGGGGTGACGGAAGGGGGAGTGACGGAAGGGGGAGTGACGGAAGGGGGAGTGACGGAAGGGGGAGTGAAGGGGGAGTGACGGAAGGGGGAGTGACGGAAGGGGGAGTGACGGAAGGGGGAGTGACGGAAGGGGGAGTGACGGAAGGGGGAGTGACGGAAGGGGGAGTGACGGAAGGGGGAGTGACGGAAGGGGGAGTGACGGAAGGGGGAGTGACGGAAGGGGGAGTGACGGAAGGGGGAGTGACGGAAGGGGGAGTGACGGAAGGGGGAGTGACGGAAGGGGGAGTGACGGAAGGGGGAGTGACGGAAGGGGGAGTGACGGAAGGGGGAGTGACGGAAGGGGGAGTGACGGAAGGGGGAGTGACGGAAGGGGGAGTGACGGAAGGGGGAGTGACGGAAGGGGGAGTGACGGAAGGGGGAGTGACGGAAGGGGGAGTGACGGAAGGGGGAGTGACGGAAGGGGGAGTGACGGAAGGGGGAGTGACGGAAGGGGGAGTGACGGAAGGGGGAGTGACGGAAGGGGGAGTGACGGAAGGGGGAGTGACGGAAGGGGGAGTGACGGAAGGGGGAGTGACGGAAGGGGGAGTGACGGAAGGGGGAGTGACGGAAGGGGGAGTGACGGAAGGGGGAGTGACGGAAGGGGGAGTGACGGAAGGGGGAGTGACGGAAGGGGGAGTGACGGAAGGGGGAGTGACGGAAGGGGGAGTGACGGAAGGGGGAGTGACGGAAGGGGGAGTGACGGAAGGGGGGGTGACGGAAGGGGGAGTGACGGAAGGGGGGGTGACGGAAGGGGGGTGACGGAAGGGGGGTGACGGAAGGGGGAGTGACGGAAGGGGGAGTGACGGAAGGGGGAGTGACGGAAGGGGGAGTGACGGAAGGGGGAGTGACGGAAGGGGGAGTGACGGAAGGGGGGGTGACGGAAGGGGGGGTGACGGAAGGGGGGGTGACGGAAGGGGGAGTGACGGAAGGGGGGTGACGGAAGGGGGGTGACGGAAGGGGGGTGACGGAAGGGGGAGTGACGGAAGGGGGAGTGACGGAAGGGGAGTGACGGAAGGGGGAGTGACGGAAGGGGGAGTGACGGAAGGGGGGTGACGGAAGGGGGAGTGACGGAAGGGGGAGTGACGGAAGGGGGAGTGACGGAAGGGGGAGTGACGGAAGGGGGAGTGACGGAAGGGGGAGTGACGGAAGGGGGAGTGACGGAAGGGGGAGTGACGGAAGGGGGAGTGACGGAAGGGGGAGTGACGGAAGGGGGAGTGACGGAAGGGGGAGTGACGGAAGGGGGAGTGACGGAAGGGGGAGTGACGGAAGGGGGAGTGACGGAAGGGGGAGTGACGGAAGGGGGAGTGACGGAAGGGGGAGTGACGGAAGGGGGGGTGACGGAAGGGGGAGTGACGGAAGGGGGAGTGACGGAAGGGGGAGTGACGGAAGGGGGAGTGACGGAAGGGGGGGTGACGGAAGGGGGAGTGACGGAAGGGGGAGTGACGGAAGGGGAGTGACGGAAGGGGGAGTGACGGAAGGGGGAGTGACGGAAGGGGGAGTGAAGGGGGAGTGACGGAAGGGGGAGTGACGGAAGGGGGAGTGACGGAAGGGGGAGTGACGGAAGGGGGAGTGACGGAAGGGGGAGTGACGGAAGGGGGAGTGACGGAAGGGGGAGTGACGGAAGGGGGAGTGACGGAAGGGGGAGTGACGGAAGGGGGAGTGACGGAAGGGGGAGTGACGGAAGGGGGAGTGACGGAAGGGGGAGTGACGGAAGGGGGAGTGACGGAAGGGGGAGTGACGGAAGGGGGGGTGACGGAAGGGGGAGTGACGGAAGGGGGAGTGACGGAAGGGGGAGTGACGGAAGGGGGAGTGACGGAAGGGGGAGTGACGGAAGGGGGAGTGACGGAAGGGGGAGTGACGGAAGGGGGAGTGACGGAAGGGGGAGTGACGGAAGGGGGGTGACGGAAGGGGGAGTGACGGAAGGGGGGGTGACGGAAGGGGGGGTGACGGAAGGGGGGGTGACGGAAGGGGGAGTGACGGAAGGGGGAGTGACGGAAGGGGGAGTGACGGAAGGGGGAGTGACGGAAGGGGGAGTGACGGAAGGGGGAGTGACGGAAGGGGGGGTGACGGAAGGGGGGGTGACGGAAGGGGGGTGACGGAAGGGGGAGTGACGGAAGGGGGAGTGACGGAAGGGGGAGTGACGGAAGGGGGAGTGACGGAAGGGGGAGTGACGGAAGGGGGAGTGACGGAAGGGGGAGTGACGGAAGGGGGAGTGACGGAAGGGGGAGTGACGGAAGGGGGAGTGACGGAAGGGGGAGTGACGGAAGGGGGAGTGACGGAAGGGGGGGTGACGGAAGGGGGAGTGACGGAAGGGGGGGTGACGGAAGGGGGGGTGACGGAAGGGGGGGTGACGGAAGGGGGAGTGACGGAAGGGGGAGTGACGGAAGGGGGAGTGACGGAAGGGGGGGTGACGGAAGGGGGGGTGACGGAAGGGGGAGTGACGGAAGGGGGAGTGACGGAAGGGGGAGTGACGGAAGGGGGAGTGACGGAAGGGGGAGTGACGGAAGGGGGAGTGAAGGGGGAGTGACGGAAGGGGGAGTGACGGAAGGGGGAGTGACGGAAGGGGGAGTGACGGAAGGGGGAGTGACGGAAGGGGGAGTGACGGAAGGGGGAGTGACGGAAGGGGGAGTGACGGAAGGGGGAGTGACGGAAGGGGGAGTGACGGAAGGGGGAGTGACGGAAGGGGGAGTGACGGAAGGGGGAGTGACGGAAGGGGGGGTGACGGAAGGGGGGGTGGCGGAAGGGGGAGTGACGGAAGGGGGAGTGACGGAAGGGGGAGTGACGGAAGGGGAGTGACGGAAGGGGGAGTGACGGAAGGGGGAGTGACGGAAGGGGGAGTGATGGAAGGGGGAGTGACGGAAGGGGGAGTGACGGAAGGGGGAGTGACGGAAGGGGGAGTGACGGAAGGGGGAGTGACGGAAGGGGGAGTGACGGAAGGGGGAGTGACGGAAGGGGGAGTGACGGAAGGGGGAGTGACGGAAGGGGGAGTGACGGAAGGGGGAGTGACGGAAGGGGGAGTGACGGAAGGGGGAGTGACGGAAGGGGGAGTGACGGAAGGGGGGGTGACGGAAGGGGGAGTGACGGAAGGGGGAGTGACGGAAGGGGGAGTGACGGAAGGGGGAGTGACGGAAGGGGGAGTGACGGAAGGGGGAGTGACGGAAGGGGGAGTGACGGAAGGGGGAGTGACGGAAGGGGGAGTGACGGAAGGGGGAGTGACGGAGTGACGGAAAGATTGTGAACTAGTAAGGGGGGTGAAGGAGGGGGGGGGTGAGTAATAGCGGAGGGAAGGGGGGGGGCGGAGGGGTGACGGATAGCGAGGTGAAGGAAGGGGGGGTGAAGCTGATCTGTGTGGGATTCTGTGCGTGGGAGGCTGTGAACAGGCACTATGGGACGTGGATGTGTGTGAGAGGCCGTTAATGGGGGGTGCTCATGGTGCTGGCCGAGGCTGTAGAGGATTTTTTTTGAGGTCCGCGGAAGTTTTGAAAAAATGCTCCAAAGCACCCCGCGATGCTCCCTTCCCACCCATGCCCAGCCCAGCACCCCCATTCCCGCCTCTCCCCTCATCCCGGACCCATCCAGCTCCGATCCGCTCCTGCTTGCTCTCCCCATGCCCTCTCACACCCACTCGCTCAGCCAGACTGCTTGCCAAGGCACCATCTCTGGACTATCTCGAACTTTTGGCTTATCCCTTCTCCTTACCCTTGTGCACTCTCTTTCACTTTCCTTCTCCCATCACTCCTTCCTCTAACCTTTCCCCCTTTACCTTCCCTTAACTTCTTCCCCTCCTTTCTCCTGTAACCCTCCCCTAACCCCTCTTCCTCTTGTTACCCTCTCCCCGTACCTCCTCCCTCTTCCATTTTCTCCTTCTCCTTTCCTCCTCTGCCTCTCCCCTCGCCCCAATCTCCTCCCCTAACCTAATCTCCCACCCCTCCTCACTTCAATCTCCCACTCCTCCTCTCACTTCAATCTCCCACTCCTCCCCTCACCCCAATCTCTAACCCTGCCTCTTACCCCAATCTCCTAACTCTCCCCTTACCCCAATCTCACGACTCCCCTTACCCCAATCTCACGACTCCCCTTACCCTCCCCGTGAATTCACGCAGTTCTATCGGAATGGCTGGGCCTGCGATGTCCATTGTGCGTGCGCAGGCATCACCACGGGTGTCAGGCCGGATGATTACTGCGCCGCACCTCACCAGGATGCTTCACACTCACCGCTGCACCATTACCAGCAGCGCCGCTGCACCATTACCAGCAGCGCCGCTGCACCATTACCAGCAGCGCCGCTGCACCATTACCAGCAGCGCCGCTGCACCATTACCAGCAGCGCCGCCACACTGCTCTTGCACCACTGCACTTCCCCCTCCACGCCCCCCCTCCTCCCTCCCCTTCCTCCTCCCTCCCTTCCTCCCACCTCTACAACCCAGCACGGGCGCTTGCCCCCAGGGCGCAGGCCCACTTACTACCGACCGAGGCCCTATCACCTCCCTTCCGCATGCCCTCGCTCTCTCTTATGCCTCACTGACTACCACCGCAGGTCAGTCTCAGGTCAATTTCATGTCAGTCTCCGGTCAATTTCATGTCAGTCTCCGGTCAATTTCATGTCAGTCTCCGGTCAATTTCATGTCAGTCTCCGGTCAATTCCATGTCAGTCTCCGGTCAATTTCATGTCAGTCTCCGGTCAATTTCATGTCAGTCTCCGGTCAATTTCATGTCAGTCTCAGGTCAATTTCATGTCAGTCTCAGGTCAATTTCATGTCAGTCTCAGGTCAATTTCATGTCAGTCTCAGGTCAATTTCATGTCAGTCTCAGGTCAATTTCATGTCAGTCTCCGGTCAATTTCATGTCAGTCTCCGGTCAATTTCATGTCAGTCTCAGGTCAATTTCATGTCAGTCTCAGGTCAATTTCATGTCAGTCTCAGGTCAATTTCATGTCAGTCTCAGGTCAATTTCATGTCAGTCTCAGGTCAATTTCATGTCAGTCTCAGGTCAATTTCATGTCAGTCTCAGGTCAATTTCATGTCAGTCTCCGGTCAATTTCATGTCAGTCTCCGGTCAATTTCATGTCAGTCTCAGGTCAATTTCATGTCAGTCTCAGGTCAATTTCATGTCAGTCTCAGGTCAATTTCATGTCAGTCTCAGGTCAATTTCATGTCAGTCTCAGGTCAATTTCATGTCAGTCTCCGGTCAATTTCATGTCAGTCTCCGGTCAATTTCATGTCAGTCTCCGGTCAATTTCATGTCAGTCTCCGGTCAATTTCATGTCAGTCTCCGGTCAATTTCATGTCAGTCTCCGGTCAATTTCATGTCAGTCTCCGGTCAATTTCATGTCAGTCTCCGGTCAATTTCATGTCAGTCTCCGGTCAATTTCATGTCAGTCTCCGGTCAATTTCATGTCAGTCTCCGGTCAATTTCATGTCAGTCTCCGGTCAATTTCATGTCAGTCTCCGGTCAATTTCATGTCAGTCTCCGGTCAATTTCATGTCAGTCTCCGGTCAATTTCATGTCAGTCTCCGGTCAATTTCATGTCAGTCTCCGGTCAATTTCATGTCAGTCTCCGGTCAATTTCATGTCAGTCTCCGGTCAATTTCATGTCAGTCTCCGGTCAATTTCATGTCAGTCTCCGGTCAATTTCATGTCAGTCTCCGGTCAATTTCATGTCAGTCTCCGGTCAATTTCATGTCAGTCTCCGGTCAATTTCATGTCAGTCTCCGGTCAATTTCATGTCAGTCTCCGGTCAATTTCATGTCAGTCTCCGGTCAATTTCATGTCAGTCTCCGGTCAATTTCATGTCAGTCTCCGGTCAATTTCATGTCAGTCTCCGGTCAATTTCATGTCAGTCTCCGGTCAATTTCATGTCAGTCTCCGGTCAATTTCATGTCAGTCTCCGGTCAATTTCATGTCAGTCTCCGGTCAATTTCATGTCAGTCTCCGGTCAATTTCATGTCAGTCTCCGGTCAATTTCATGTCAGTCTCAGGTCAATTTCATGTCAGTCTCAGGTCAATTTCATGTCAGTCTCAGGTCAATTTCATGTCAGTCTCAGGTCAATTTCATGTCAGTCTCCGGTCAATTTCATGTCAGTCTCCGGTCAATTTCATGTCAGTCTCAGGTCAATTTCATGTCAGTCTCCGGTCAATTTCATGTCAGTCTCAGGTCAATTTCATGTCAGTCTCAGGTCAATTTCATGTCAGTCTCAGGTCACTTTCAGGTCAGTCTCCGGTCACTTCCAGGTCAGTCGAAGGTCAGTTTCAGGTCAGTCTTAGGTCACTTTCACGTTAGTCTGAGGTCCTTTCAGGTCAGTCTCAGGTCATTTGCAGGCCTGTCTCAGGTCTCTTTCAGGTCAGTCTTCGGTTATTTTCAAGTCAGTTTTAGGTCACTTTCAGGTCAGTCTCAGACCACTTTCAGGTCAGGCTCAGGTCACTTTCAGGCTAGTCTCAGGCCACATTCAGGTCAGTCTGAGGTCAATTTTAGGTCACTCTCATGTCACTCTTTGGTCACTCTCAGGTCACTCTCAGGCAGCTCTCAGGTTTTCAGTTCCCTTTTTTCTGCTTTCATGTCATTCCATGGTATCCTCCTCCGTTCCACTTCTCTCCGATCCCTCTCCTGTGTTCCAGGGCAATGGAGAGTTGAAGATGAATAGATGAGCAGTTGCAGAAGCACCAGCAGCAAGAGCAACAGCAGCACAAGTAGCAGCAGCGCCAGCACCACCAGCATCACCACGGGTGCCAGTGTGACCACTAACACCCACCACACCAATTAACAGAGACAGCAGCAACAGCGGTCCGACATCTGCTTGTCCTTGACTGGGTAAAAAGTCAACCTCACCTTTCCGTAACAAGCCTCAGCCTCATCGAAATCAGCCAGTGAGTCACTTGCATTAACCATTGGCTATGCACTCTCACTCTGCTCCTGGCTGCGGTGCAACTGCTGCCTCCTCATTTTACTCTCCCTCCTCCCCTCCTACTCCCCCATCTTTCTCTCCCCTCCTCTCCTATGCTGGTTTCATCCTCTCCTACTCACTCCTGCAGTCGAAGCCATCAGTGAAGGGCCCACATTGGTTGCCCACATCAGGTCAGGCTCATCGAAACCAGCCGGTGAGTCATATTGCATTGACCATTGGCTATGCACTCTCACTCTGCTCCTGGCTGCGGCGGTGCCACTGCTGCCTCCTCATTCTACTCTCCCTCCTCCCCTCCTACTCTCCCTCCTCGCCTCCTACTCTGCCCTCTTACTCTCCCACCCTCTCAGATGCCTCTTCCATCCTCTTCTACTCTCATATGCTATTCCATCCATCGAGTAAGGGTCCTAGTTGGCCTCCAATGGGGATGTAGCTCAGATGGTAGAGCGCTCGCTTAGCATGCGAGAGGTACGGGGATCGATACCCCGCATCTCCAGGCTTGCGGGGATAGCTCAGTTGGGAGAGCGTCAGACTGAAGATCTGAAGGTCGCGTGTTCGATCCACAAAAACCGCACGTTTTGACTCTTGCTTGCTTGACCCACAGCCCGTTGTGGCCCGCTGTGCTTGCTTCATGCGCAGACCCTTGTGCCTGATTTGTCTATCTTCACCCACATACCCTTGTGCCTGATTTGTCTATCTTCACCCACATACCCTTGTGCCTGATTTGTCTATCTTCACCCACATACCCTTGTGCCTGATTTGTCTATCTTCACCCACATACCCTTGTGCCTGATTTGTCTATCTTCACCCACATACCCTTGTGCCTGATTTGTCTATCTTCACCCACATACCCTTGTGCCTGATTTGTCTATCTTCACCCACATACCCTTGTGCCTGATTTGTCTATCTTCACCCACATACCCTTGTGCCTGATTTGTCTATCTTCACTCACATACCCTTGTGGCTTTTTTGTTCGCTTCACTCGCATCCCCTTGTACCCATTTTTTATCGCTTTATTGCCTCTTTTGTTCGCTTCACTGCCTCTTTTGTTCGCTTCATTGCCTCCTTTGCTCGCTTCACTCACAGACCCATTGTGCCTTTTCTCGCTTGCTTGACCCATGCTGTCCAACAGGTGTGCCTCCCTGCATGTGAGCAGCTCACAGCAGTGGAGGTTGCTGCTGCTTAAGCCCACCTGACACGGTATCCACCCCACCTGTTCATTCAACAATTCATGAGGCGCCCAACTCATCGCTGCCACATATGGCCTGGCAGCATGGCAGAGCCATGATGAGAGTACGTTTATGCGAGAAGTGGGTGCATGCAGCCGAGGAGGGAGGAATGGAGGGTGACGAGAGAAGCAGCAGACGAGGAGGGAGGAATGGAGGGTGACGAGAGAAGCAGCAGACGAGGAGGAGGAATGGAGGGTGACGAGAGAAGCAGCAGACGAGGAGGAGGAATGGAGGGTGACGAGAGAAGCAGCAGACGAGGAGGGAGGAATGGAGGGTGACGAGAGAAGCAGCAGACGAGGAGGAGGAATGGAGGGTGACGAGAGAAGCAGCAGACGAGGAGGAGGAATGGAGGGTGACGAGAGAAGCAGCAGACGAGGAGGAGGAATGGAGGGTGACGAGAGAAGCAGCAGACGAGGAGGAGGAATGGAGGGTGACGAGAGAAGCAGCAGACGAGGAGGGAGGAATGGAGGGTGACGAGAGAAGCAGCAGACGAGGAGGGAGGAATGGAGGGTGACGAGAGAAGCAGCAGACGAGGAGGAGGAATGGAGGGTGACGAGAGAAGCAGCAGACGAGGAGGAGGAATGGAGGGTGACGAGAGAAGCAGCAGACGAGGAGGAGGAATGGAGGGTGACGAGAGAAGCCGCAGACGAGGAGGAGGAATGGAGGGTGACGAGAGAAGCAGCAGACGAGGAGGAGGAATGGAGGGTGACGAGAGAAGCAGCAGACGAGGAGGAGGAATGGAGGGTGACGAGAGAAGCAGCAGACGAGGAGGGAGGAATGGAGGGTGACGAGAGAAGCAGCAGACGAGGAGGAGGAATGGAGGGTGACGAGAGAAGCAGCAGACGAGGAGGGAGGAATGGAGGGTGACGAGAGAAGCAGCAGACGAGGAGGAGGAATGGAGGGTGACGAGAGAAGCAGCAGACGAGGAGGAGGAATGGAGGGTGACGAGAGAAGCAGCAGACGAGGAGGAGGAATGGAGGGTGACGAGAGAAGCAGCAGACGAGGAGGAGGAATGGAGGGTGACGAGAGAAGCAGCAGACGAGGAGGAGGAATGGAGGGTGACGAGAGAAGCAGCAGACGAGGAGGAGGAATGGAGGGTGACGAGAGAAGCAGCAGACGAGGAGGGAGGAATGGAGGGTGACGAGAGAAGCAGCAGACGAGGAGGAGGAATGGAGGGTGACGAGAGAAGCAGCAGACGAGGAGGGAGGAATGGAGGGTGACGAGAGAAGCAGCAGACGAGGAGGAGGAATGGAGGGTGACGAGAGAAGCAGCAGACGAGGAGGAGGAATGGAGGGTGACGAGAGAAGCAGCAGACGAGGAGGGAGGAATGGAGGGTGACGAGAGAAACAGCAGACGAGGAGGGAGGAATGGAGGGTGACGAGAGAAGCAGCAGACGAGGAGGAGGAATGGAGGGTGACGAGAGAAGCAGCAGACGAGGAGGAGGAATGGAGGGTGACGAGAGAAGCAGCAGACGAGGAGGGAGGAATGGAGGGTGACGAGAGAAACAGCAGACGAGGAGGGAGGAATGGAGGGTGACGAGAGAAGCAGCAGACGAGGAGGAGGAATGGAGGGTGACGAGAGAAGCAGCAGACGTGATATGACTTACGTGTGAGAGGGCATTAGCTGCTCCTGGGGGCTCATATGCTGAACACAGGGGGCTTTAGGTTGCACGCAAAATAATGAAGAGGTGCAGCAGTGCAATGCATGGTGCTTGTTACTCCTGCCATGATGGCTCCCTCTGTTGCGCCTTTTCCCCCCCTTGAGAAGAGTCAAGGCCAACTTGAGAACCATTTTTCGCGGACAGGTGGACGAGTGGCTGGGAGAGCTGTTCACAAGGTACTTACTCTTCTCCCCCTTCTCTCCCACTCTTCATGTGCCTACCCCCTTAACCTCTCTGCAGTTGGACAAGGGTCCTCCTGTGTGGCGCTTCTCCTGCCGCGACCTGCAGCAGCCAGCATTTTTCATACGAGTCCCTGCAACTGGGCGTGGGCTCATACTCTCCCACTCTCTTCTCCCTCCCACCTGCAGCTGCAGCTGGGCAAGGGCTCTTCTCCGACCCGCCTTCTCTGTGTCGCTTCTCCTACCGCGAGCTGCAGCAGCCAGCAGGGTACTTCAATGCGTCTTTCGCGTTGAAGCTGAGCAAGGGCAGCTTTAGAACCGTTTTGTCGCGGACAGTGGACGAGTGTCTGGGAGAGCTGGTACGTGGCAGCAGGAGAAGGGTGGCGGTGAAGGTGCTTCACACGGAAAGCATGAAGGCGTCTGATGACTGCCTAGTGAGGGGGGAGCGAGAGGAAGGAATGAGTAGGGGGAACGGGGAGAGTGAGCCAAAAAGAGGTGAAAGATGGAGAAAGAGGGAAGTGGATGGGGTTGGGAGAGGGGCCGTTGAAGGTGCTTCATACTGACAACGCCAAGGTGTTTGACGACTGCCTGGTGAGAATCGAGAGTGTAATGAGTGGGGAGGGAGGAGTGAGGCAAGTGGGGTGAGCGTGGGGAATTGCGTGGCGGTAAATGTGCTTCTCACTGAGTGACAGCGTAGAGGCGTTTGACTTCTTAGGTGCCTCAAATATCGTTTGATGAGTCCATCTTTTGATCTTTCATTGAATATAAGATTGGCACCCCTGGTCTCCTCTCGCTCCTTCTCCCCCTACACACTGTGCATCGACTGTCTCACAGGTGGAGATCCTAATGCTGGGCGATCTGATCCACCGCAACCAGGTGCGGCTGCTGGGGTACTGCATTGAGGACAACACTGCTGTGCTCCCCTCCCTTGCATCCACACCCTTTCCCCATTCTCTCATCGCGCATTTCTGTCTCCCTCTCCCCTCATTGTGCACCTGTCACCCCACAGTGTTGGGCGATCTGAGCCACCCCGACCTGGTCCGGCTGCTTGGGTACGGCATGGAAGACTGCACTCCTGTGTTCCTCTCGCACCCTCCCATCCCCCTTCCTTTCCCCCTCCCCACTGCACATACCCATTCCTCTCCCTCTCCTCCCACCACAGGCGGAGATACTAGTGCTGGGCAATCTGAACCATCCCAACCACCCTAAACCTAGTGCGGCTGCTGGGATACTGCATTGATGACTGCCGGGCGGATCTGGCGTGTGAGCTGGTGGAGAGAGGAAACCTGCACCACTGGCTGCACCCCAACAGTGAGCTTCCACTCTTGTGCGTAAGAGGAAGAAGAGGATGATGAGGGTGGAGGAACGTAGGTTGACTGAAAACAGTTCTGGTTTACGGCCAGGGGAGAGAGGAGATGGTTACCGCTGGTGGGATGGGGAGGAGGGTGAAACGCTTGGCGGAAATGGAGAAGGATACAGGGAAAGTTCAGCAGTTCTTACGTTATGGCTTGAATTGTGGTCTGGAAAAAAGAAAAACCACAAGCATCAAACCAAACCTGTGCCTGCCGGGAATTGAACCCGGGTCTGCACCGAACTCATGGCAGGGTGCTATTCTACCTCTTTATTAACAGTATAGTAAATGTACAGTGGATACATGGCAAATCCAAAGACCTAGTGTGGAGGAAGAAAAGCTAGACAGTCCTATTGTGAGGCCTTCTAACAGGCCTCTGTGATGTCTCAATGGTCCACTCCCAAGTAAGCAAAGTCAGCCGCTGAAAGAGAAGTCACCTCGGGTGGAGTGTGGTTGATGCCCTCGGTAAAACGAATTTGCGCACGCCGACAAACAGTGCGAGCCTGCTCACGCTGATGGACTAGAGAAATCCGCTTGTAGAAGTTGGTCTCAAACAGCTGGGGAAGAGAATCCGTTGCACCACTCAAGTCGCGAACTTGTGAAGCCCCCCTACGGCTGCATTGGCGGAGGAAGTTGTTGAAGGAAGAGCCGAAGCAACCGAAGGTTTCGATGACAAGGGGAAACAGTTTGACGTCTGGGCGGTCACGAAGTGCTGCTGCATAGTGGGTAGTCTTCTCACTTTCACGAGTGGCTGCTGCTGAACCGATGACCGTAGCTGCGTTGGAGTGCGGAAACCCCTTCTGAGGATCGGCTACAGAAACATCCAAGGCCCAGGTGGTACCAGAGCTGATGTCCCGACACGTGATGTCTGTTCGGCGGCCAGGCAGTAGGTGTTGGTCTTCCATTTGCGCAGAGAACCCCAGCTCCAAGGCAATGCGATGAACTTCGCGCTTGATTGCGTCATGCACCTTCGTAGGTTCGTTGTTGCTAGGGCAGCGAAGGACGTGAGAATGGATGGAAGGATCGGTGAATGGGGAGTTGCAGGTGCAGGTGTGGGAAGATGAAAGGTGTGGGATAGGAAGGCCTAGGCGGACAGCTGCTGCAATGCGCCACTCGGTCTCTGAAAGCTGCATGTGCGGGGAGGATGGAGCCACAGTAAGCCAGTCACCTGCATGCGGGCCCTGCAAAGAGGTTAGGCGAGCAAGGCGAAGCGGGGACGTGACTGTGGCTACCACTAGACCACTGGCACGTGTTTTGATAGAATGTTCTTGTGTGTTACACGTCTGCTCACGAATTGGCTTTATCTGGCCTGTCAGCGTCGACAGGCTGGTCATGCCGAGCTGATGCCCTCAGTGGAAAACGTTTGGCATGCATGGTGCCAGTCAGCACAGTACCAGGCTGCATAGTCAGCAGCCGCATAGTCAGGACTCAAGGGGCGGTGAAGGGCCATTGGTTCATGCCAAGTGGATACCCTTTTTAAGAAACAACTGGCCTGCATGGTGTTGGGGCATGGTGTTGGGGCATGGTGTTGGGGCATGGTGTTGGGGCATGGTGTTGGGGCATGGTGCTGCCTGGGCAGCCTGCGTAAAAACAAAAGAAGAAAAAAAAAATATCTTGAAAATCGCAACAGTTTGCGATGTCAAGAGTTGTTACCTTGACATCGCAGGGGGACCAGCGCCAATCTGAAATTCAAATGTTGAACTCCAACCCCTACCCCACCCTCAACAACACACCACCCAGCTCAATCTCCCAAGCCCAACCTTCTCTCCACCTTTTACTTGTCCACCAACTCAGGTCCACACATATTGCAAGGCTCATTCATTCCCGCATTTCTTGGCTTCCAATTCATACATCTCTGGTCAATCCGTGCAGCCTTAGAATTGATTGTTGCACACCATGGGGAGATCCACTCCCTCAACATCCAACAATGGAACGTCAGTCCAAGGATCTAGTGACAGCCACAAGGCTGTTGATGCGAACCCCACCCATCTTAGGAAGTTGTAGGACATATGCGAAGATATTGAAGGAAATCTGTATCGTTCGATAAGGATGATTAAAGTTATGGGGAAGGGTCTTCTTGTTCCCCTATGCCACAACCCTATTACAGTTCCCCCCTCTGCCTAGAAATCGCTTTTTCCTGCCCGCCTCAGCGTTTTTTTGCGTATTCCCAAATTGGACAAGTAGCAAATAGTGCTAATACGTTTTGCGTATTATACGAGAAACGCGTGCCTGCCAATGTAGCTGTCGGCCATGCAGACAATGTAGCATCATGCACTAACAATCATCATCAACACATAACGGGAGTCATTTTTTGAAGTTGAGAAAATTTGGACGTTCATGTGGATGTATGCGGGGGCATTGATGGGCAGTGTCGGCCTTCCCTACCAGCTGTCCACACTCCTCTCTTCTCACCTTTAATTTTCATGACTTGACTCCCCTCCTTCCCTCCCTCTCCTCCTCCCTCCCTTCCTTCGGCCCCCACCAGCTGCACAACTGTATCGACTCGCACATGTCACACTTCTGTCTGAGTTTCCCTCCACTACCCATTCCTTACCTGCTTTTCACTTCTCCTCCTATTCCTCGCTCTGCCCCCCACCACCACCTTTCCCCCAATCCCTCCCGCTGCTTCTCCCCCTCCCTAGCTCGACAATTGCATCACGCGTGCCTGATTTCACTGGGGGCAATCCAAGGAGTTGATCGCCCTTAGACTTAAAGCAGTAGTACAAGGGCAACTGGACTCCCATCTATGCCGGAACATTACAGCCTGCATCAACTCTCACGTGCCTCACTTGCAGGGAGAGTGCAGATATCTTTTTGCAGCTCAAACATCAGTGGACCTCTGAGTGCGGCAGGTTATTCCAGGCACCTCGAAGAGTAGACAAGTACACGCAGAGATGCTGTACATACATGTTATCAGCGTTTAATACACCACCCCATACCTTACCCCTCACCTCATCTAACATCTCATCCCATCCCCCATATATCTTATCCCATACTAAACATTCCTCTCCACTGTCGTTTCTGAATCACTTTTGCTCCCCTCAATCCTTTCCCTCTCTTGCACTCATGCCTGCCCATCACTCACTCGCAGCAGAAACCTCTCGAGCACTGAGAAATAGAGTTGGGTGTCACACAGCAGCAGAAGCAGAGTCATTAGTAACCAGCCAGGAGGGGTGCATTTAGTGGTTGGAGTGTGGGGCTGCAGTAAGGAGGTGGTAAATGTGGTGGCTTCTGTCCGTTGCAGTTGAGATTCTGGTGCCATCCAGTATATGAGCCATGCATTCTGAAGCATATCAGGCATTGAGGAGAGACGTGGATCATGTTGTAACCTCAGAACAGGGTGAATTGTTTGCAACACATAGCGAGAGCCGTAATGGCCAAAAAAATGTAACTTAGCAAGGGGATGTACATGCGTACATGCGCACATGCCTGTGTTTTCATGCAAACCAAATGTTGTGGAAGTTTGTAAACAGTTTGATAAATGCCTTCACTAGATGCCAAAAGACTCAACCAGGGCTCCCAACATCAGGGCAGTGAGAGGAGTCGGAGCTTACCTACCCACATGCAACAGCTCTCCATCATCTCCAACAGTAGGCAATGTCTACGTAGTTGTCTACGTTTCAGTCTGAGGTCAGGGCACAAGTTCACATCTTGATTCATCGAAAGGATTGGTACCCTAAAGCTGTGCCAGCCAACTGACCCAGCCAACTTGCACACACCTCCACTCAGTCCACTCCTTCCCTAGCCTACGCTGCTGCCACTGCTCCTCCTGCCACTGCTGCTGCCGCTGCTGCTGCCGCTGCTGCTGCCGCTGCCGCTGCTGCTGCTGCTGCTGCTGCTGCTGCTGCTGCTGCTGCTGCCGCTGCTGCTGCTGCTGCTGCTGCCGCTGCTGCTGCTGCCGCCGCTGCTGCTGCCGCTGCTGCTGCTGCTGCCGCCGCTGCTGCTGCTGCTGCCGCTGCTGCCGC